GCGCTGGCCGACGACGAGGCGGCCGCCGCCACCAAGCGCCGCGCGCTGGACCAGGTAGGGCCCGGCCCGGGGCTGGCGCCGACACTGGCGCTGACGCCGTGTATGCGACTGTTCGATTTGCCGACAGGTCGAGAGTACGTTCGAGAGTCTGCGGGAGAAACATCAGAACAGTACTGCCGTTCTCGCAGATGCCCAGCAAAAATTTTTGGAAGTCAGTAGTGGACTCGAAGGGGCCTCAGAATCACTACAAGACCAACTCATGGGTAAGTACTGACTACACACCTTCGTCAGACGACTGTATGAATTTTGGACTGTGGTTGTATCATATTCAGTCGAAGGTTTATGACTTAAGGAAAATGACCTGGCTTACTGTCTATATTATATAAGGTGTTAAAAAAAAATCTAAGGTTTTGTTGAAACAATTATTCCATAATTAATCACGAAAAAATAATTAAAAAAAAGCTACCGTTCTAAAGTTATTCCACTATTTGTGTTACACGTAAACAGCCTAATATGCGCGCCGTACTAGGCGAGGCCGTCGACGAAGCCCCGCGCGACCGCGCTGACGCAGGTGTCGCACTACCGCGCGCTTATGTTACTACTGAACTTAATAATGTTTCATTTTAATAAACGACCACGCGACTTGATTTAGATTGTGTTATTTAACTGAATTGATATGCTTATTCTTAAATTAGCATAGCTACAATGATTAATTATGTCAATTTTTTGGATAGGTAAATACTAATAATAACTCGATCAAAAACCAATACTTCGATAGTCCTAGTACTAGGTAGTTGGTAGTTACTTAGGTATTTATCATTTACGAGTATTCATCGGAATAAATGCCCGTCTCTAGATACTTAAGTATTAACAAAGAGTCTACCTTATTTACAGAAGATGCTGGATGTGTCTTCCACCTTGTTCGATGCACAAGTTTGCACGACGCGACGTATTACGTTGTTTTTCACTCGCAATAATGTCTCTGTCACTTTTTTAATAATATCTAACGCGTATATTATGCGTATTTTCAATTCGTCCGCGTTTCTAATCTCACTACCACTGTGGCCGTATACTAAGTCCTTAACACGACCTCAAAGATAGAAATCTATGGGAATGAGCTCCGGGGATCGAGGTGGCCACGCAATCGGTCCACCACGGTCTATTCAGCGATTTGGATAGGTAACATCTAAATACTCGCGAGCTGCTCTGTGGTAGTGGGCCGGCCTGGCCTTCTTCACGGAGCATGTTCCATGCGGTAACGTGACTTCTTCCTAAGTCACGACCTGCGACCTGATTCTCGTGGAAGTAGTCGAGAACTCGTTCTTCAATATCTCCGGCAAGCCGCGGCCTGTGGCATCTGCTTGGGGAGGACGAAACTGACCATAATCCAGTAAACGCTGGTAAGCTCCTAGTATTGTCTGTAAAGCCGGTACTCGTCATTGAGCACCATACAGTTCCTGGTACGAAGTACGAGCTGCAGATACATTTTCGCCACTTCTAATGTACCACATTAACATGTCTAAGTACTTGCGGTTACTGTACGTAAACGGCATTATTGAATATTAAACAACAAACAATAAAAAATGGCGCGTGCGATTGATCGGACACAACACTGAACGACACTGAGGGCCACACCCTTCCCGCGCGACTGCTATCGATCAATTGGCGATCGAGAGAGAGAGAAGTGAGAAAGAGAGCGGGGCAACTAGCGAACGGGAGAGAGGGAGAAAGAGAGAGAGATTGCGATAACATGGGAACGGTGACGGCGCGCCATTACTTCGCTTGGGCCGCAAGCGCAGCCCCGCGTACGGTTTGCACAAAAAAGTTTAACCAACTCCTTTATTTTTGTTAAAAATAAAAAAAAAGTCGTTAAAATTGTTAATTTTTGCTATACGTGTCAGTTTGTTGATTCCCACCAACCTCATAAAATATTTAGAGCTTTTTTATTAACACCTTATATTTGTATCTTGCCTCAGCTGCTAAACAAGAGGCGTCAGAAGCGGCGACTCGGATATCGCAAAGTGCAATGGAGAAAAAACATGCAGAAAATCGACTGAAGGCACTGGAGAAAGAGTTCGCCAGTAGCAGCGCTCAGTACCAGCGTGACATGGAGAACATCGGACGCCATGAGGCTCAGCTCGCCGAGCTACAGGTAGGCGTGTGTGTATGTGTATGTGTGTATGTATGTATGTAAGTAAGTAAGTGTGTTTATGTGTATGGGGGTATACTGTGTGTGTGCGAGGCTGTAGTATGTGTGTGCAGGCGGAGTTGTCGCGTCTGGCGGGCGCGGCGCGGCGCGAGGCCGAGCTGGCCGAGTCGGTGCGTGGCCTGGCGCGGCGGGAGCGGGGGCGCGGGGCGCTGTGTGTGTGTGTGCGAGGCTGTAGTATGTGTGTGCAGGCGGAGTTGTCGCGTCTGGCGGGCGCGGCGCGGCGCGAGGCCGAGCTGGCCGAGTCGGTGCGTGGCCTGGCGCGGCGGGAGCGGGGGCGCGGGGCGCTGTGTGTGTGTGTGCGAGGCTGTAGTATGTGTGTGCAGGCGGAGTTGTCGCGTCTGGCGGGCGCGGCGCGGCGCGAGGCCGAGCTGGCCGAGTCGGTGCGTGGCCTGGCGCGGCGGGAGCGGGGGCGCGGGGCGCTGTGTGTGTGTGTGCGAGGCTGTAGTATGTGTGTGCAGGCGGAGTTGTCGCGTCTGGCGGGCGCGGCGCGGCGCGAGGCCGAGCTGGCCGAGTCGGTGCGTGGCCTGGCGCGGCGGGAGCGGGGGCGCGGGGCGCTGTGTGTGTGTGTGCGAGGCTGTAGTATGTGTGTGCAGGCGGAGTTGTCGCGTCTGGCGGGCGCGGCGCGGCGCGAGGCCGAGCTGGCCGAGTCGGTGCGTGGCCTGGCGCGGCGGGAGCGGGGGCGCGGGGCGCTGTGTGTGTGTGTGCGAGGCTGTAGTATGTGTGTGCAGGCGGAGTTGTCGCGTCTGGCGGGCGCGGCGCGGCGCGAGGCCGAGCTGGCCGAGTCGGTGCGTGGCCTGGCGCGGCGGGAGCGGGGGCGCGGGGCGCTGTGTGTGTGTGTGCGAGGCTGTAGTATGTGTGTGCAGGCGGAGTTGTCGCGTCTGGCGGGCGCGGCGCGGCGCGAGGCCGAGCTGGCCGAGTCGGTGCGTGGCCTGGCGCGGCGGGAGCGGGGGCGCGGGGCGCTGTGTGTGTGTGTGCGAGGCTGTAGTATGTGTGTGCAGGCGGAGTTGTCGCGTCTGGCGGGCGCGGCGCGGCGCGAGGCCGAGCTGGCCGAGTCGGTGCGTGGCCTGGCGCGGCGGGAGCGGGGGCGCGGGGCGCTGTGTGTGTGTGTGCGAGGCTGTAGTATGTGTGTGCAGGCGGAGTTGTCGCGTCTGGCGGGCGCGGCGCGGCGCGAGGCCGAGCTGGCCGAGTCGGTGCGTGGCCTGGCGCGGCGGGAGCGGGGGCGCGGGGCGCTGTGTGTGTGTGTGCGAGGCTGTAGTATGTGTGTGCAGGCGGAGTTGTCGCGTCTGGCGGGCGCGGCGCGGCGCGAGGCCGAGCTGGCCGAGTCGGTGCGTGGCCTGGCGCGGCGGGAGCGGGGGCGCGGGGCGCTGTGTGTGTGTGTGCGAGGCTGTAGTATGTGTGTGCAGGCGGAGTTGTCGCGTCTGGCGGGCGCGGCGCGGCGCGAGGCCGAGCTGGCCGAGTCGGTGCGTGGCCTGGCGCGGCGGGAGCGGGGGCGCGGGGCGCTGTGTGTGTGTGTGCGAGGCTGTAGTATGTGTGTGCAGGCGGAGTTGTCGCGTCTGGCGGGCGCGGCGCGGCGCGAGGCCGAGCTGGCCGAGTCGGTGCGTGGCCTGGCGCGGCGGGAGCGGGGGCGCGGGGCGCTGTGTGTGTGTGTGCGAGGCTGTAGTATGTGTGTGCAGGCGGAGTTGTCGCGTCTGGCGGGCGCGGCGCGGCGCGAGGCCGAGCTGGCCGAGTCGGTGCGTGGCCTGGCGCGGCGGGAGCGGGGGCGCGGGGCGCTGTGTGTGTGTGTGCGAGGCTGTAGTATGTGTGTGCAGGCGGAGTTGTCGCGTCTGGCGGGCGCGGCGCGGCGCGAGGCCGAGCTGGCCGAGTCGGGCGGGAGCGCGCGGCGCGGGACCAGGTGGACGCGCGCGCGCCGCGCCTGGCGCGCTGCAAGCTGCGTTACTCCAAGCCGGAACCGGGGTTCGATGACAAGAGGGTCTACGGTATGTGGATTCACAAAACTTTATGCGCACCGTGATCTAGTGCATAGTAAAGTACTACTAACAAAGGTTTAAGTTTAATTTCATATAAAAATATTTTTTATGTTATTTTGTAAGGTATGTACCTAGGGGCGATAGTTGCCTGAAAATAAAGTTTAATGAAATAAAAAATCGTTATGCTGCCAAGCACTGTTGACCGATTCTGTTTATGGTTTCAGGCACGATTTGTAGGTTAATAGATGTGCGTGACCCGATATACTGTACTGCTCTGGAAACTGCAGCGGGCGGACGCGTAAGTGAAGAATAAATTCATTTCAAAATAGAGCGAATCTAATCTAAATATTGTGTTCTGTATGAAAGTTTGTCAGTTTTATGCAATAGTTGTACGATGGTAGAACAATAGTTATCGTAGCGTCCCTGTGCAGCTGTTCAACGTGGTGGTGGACACCGAGGTGACGAGCAAGCTACTGCTGCAGCGGGGCCAGCTGGAACACAGGACCACCATCGTCCCGCTCAACAAGATCAACGGACACGTCATCGACCGCGCCACCGTCGAGCTGGCGCAGCAGATCGTACGTCCTCGCCACGCAGCGTGCTTGAGTACAGCGGAGTACAGCGGAGTACACAAGTACAGCAGTGACGCTTGCAGGGCGGCGGGCCGGACAACGTGCAGCTGGCGCTGGACCTGGTGCAGTTCCCGGGCGCGCTGCGGCCCGCCATGGCCTGGGTGTGGGGCTCCACGCTGGTGTGCCGCGACCTGGACACGGCGCGCCGCGTCACCTTCCACCCCGCCGTGCGCCGCCGCACCGTCACGCTCGACGGCGACGTCTTCGACCCGTCCGGCACGCTCTCCGGCGGCGCGCGCCTCAAGGTACGTCCAGCGCTCCGCGGCGCTAGACGGCGGGCGCCTCAAGGTACGTCCAGCGCTCCGCGGCGCTAGACGGCGGGCGCCTCAAGGTACGTCCAGCGCTCCGCGACGCTAGACGGCGGGCGCCTCAAGGTACGTCCAGCGCTCCGCG